GTACACTTTGTGTATACATATATGTACCTCGGGTACATATCTGTAGTACCTGTTACGTCAACGACCCCTTGAGCGTTACTAGGCTGCACGTGTATTCATGCTATATCTGTAATGTTCTACCGTCTACGCTTTCAGCGCAAACTTGAATTTGGACATAGATCGGCTGCGTCCACGCATATCAGATTTCGAGGATCACGTGCAGAAGCTACGGCAGCAGTTGTACAGCGAGCGCTTCGAGAAGGAGAGGGCGGTGCAGGAGCTGCGACGGCAGGGTCTCAACCCGCCCATACCTATCTCTGTTACCTCGACGTCCAGGTGCGTTAGTGCATCACCTGCTTACCATTTATTTATTTGTCAGCTGCTTGTCATTGTTATTATCAGCCAATTACCATTTATTTATTGGTCAGCCACTTTAATATCATTTGTTTATTGTTGACGTTACTCGACAACAACGTCGACGTCCGACCGCCCGGCGGCGGCGGCTCGGCCGGTCGGCGTCATTCGTGAGTGACGTTCGTCGGACGACGCTGACGTTGACGACAACTCGTTCGATCACTCTCACGAATGAACGGTCGATCGTGCGACGAATAGCACTCGGTGTAAAAAAACAGAAACAGTTGTTAGTCTCATGGTAATGCTGAACATCAACAACAAACACACAATATCTCTGTGACATTAACTAAACGCTTAGCAAAATTACGCGCTGGTCACGGCTCCAGTATAAGGTAGACTCTTTCTACCCGTGATCGCATCAGTGGTTACGCGTGAGTGTGTTGACTACACCCTTGCTAGCGTCTATGTGAATGCAGATAATAACAGACTATAACGAATAGTATGTACGTATTCATGAATCTCTTTAATAGCGTATACTTAACTAGCATCCGCCCATAACATGGCGAATGCGTACAGTCTAGGTACGCGAGTAACCTCACATAACTTACGAGGTTTATGCTGTGCAGTAGCTGTCTCAATACCAATATCGTCTATGCCTGTAGTTTGTGTAACACTATCGCTCTCTTCCTTGTCTCTGGCCGAACACGCGGTTATATACTGCAATAGGTAGACACGCCTACCTATTGTCTCTCCACAGTCCTCCTACATGCCTGTCTACAATTGGCCTACTTCTATCCTGTCTATCCCGCGTTACGACTTTACACAGCTGGTCATATATGCCCAGCCCGAACAATGGTTATCCCTAGCTATTTTACTTATTCGTCCTTCGACTGTATTACAATTGGTCAGCCACTTACCATTATTATTATCAGCCACTTACCATTTATTTATTGGTCAGCCGCTTACCATTGTTATTATAAGCCACTTACCATTTATTTATTGGTCAGCCACTTACCATTTATTTATTGGTCAGCCACTTACCATTTATTTATTGGTCAGCCGCTTACCACTTACTATTGTCAGCCACTTACCACTTACTATTACTATTCCTTTGCCGGTGAACGTGAAGCTTTCTGAGAACGAGTAGAATTTACGTATAGCATGTATACGTGAGAGTAAATGCCACGCAGTTGCCATATTTGCTTTGCATTTTTTGTCGATTCTTTTCGGTATCACGTACGCCGTCGTCGTTGACTCACCTGCCGTGCGTCATTTAACCCGTGTCACATAGTCGGTTGACATTCAAAGATTGGGGCTCTGCAATGTGGGTGACATCGTCGTGTTCGACACTGTAAGGGCACAATTAAGCCACAATGGCACTGACGCGTGTGCTATTGTAGGGTAGGTGACGTTGTCGTGAGATGTAGGCCGGGATGTAGGTTAGCGATTATGTCTAGTTTACCCACGCAGGCTTACGGACCAGTACGCATCGACTAGTGGCCTAGCCGACAAGTCCGCTGACAGATCGAGAAGAACGCAGTCGAAAAGCAGGGAATCCTTAGATCTATACTCCTCTCAGGAGACAGTGTCAAAGCGCAAACCTAGGACGTCTAGCAAAGTGGCTAGGTATAAAGAGGACAGCGATATTGATCCTAGGGTGAGCATAATGTAGATGTTAATCGCATTCGCTATTACATGTGTAATTTTTTTTTAATGTAGGGTTTAGGTTAAGCGTATACTACAAAATGATCAAGTTATATCACTCACTGCCCAAAAAATCCACACTTAGATTAATGCCCCTTTTACGTTTATACCCAAACAGACCTTTAGTGTGATAACATTCTAATTTGGTTTCGATTTGTAATAAAAAACTACCATGTGTACATATTATCTAGATATTATTATGTTGGTTTTGCTTGAGCATACAAACAACCATGTTGCGTTTCAGGTGCCGCGTGTTTAATGGGCGTTTTTTACACCAAAAATATTCCATGATGATGCCAAATTAAGTTTTAAATAACTATTAAGCAACATATTATTCTTGCTGTCAGAGTGCGGGTTGTAAATTTATTTAGATGCAGTGTGCTTTTAGTAGTTCTGGCTTGCTAATATGTCGGATATATAGTCTTTCTTTTGAAGGTGCCAATCATATTTCATGAATAATTCCTTAAATATAATTTCGTTGATATCTGATATAGTGATGTAGTATTGTACTCGAGATGGGTAAATATACATTTACACTGATCTGACATTTGATTGATCTCAATCATTCTCTGTGTTTGTCAGACGTCATGTATATTACTCTGTTATATGTAAAATGTTTTGCTAGCAAACACTTTCGTACCAGGCTGCCATGAACGAACATGATGAGTAAATAGTGGGCTCAAATTACTCTAAATAATTCAGCGAGCGTATAGTTTTTCTTTACTATTTACTCGGCGTGCATATTCTCATGCGATCTTACTCTTTCAGCTATAACGTTTGTCGGATTGACATAAATATATCCACATGGCTTGCAAACATTTCATATCTTTCTTAAAAGGTGGGTGGTTCAAAGTGTGACTCACTAAAACACGCTAGTCTAGGCAGTGAATGGTGTGCGTTCAATCTGATGTGCGCTTACTTCATTTTAAATTTCATCATTCGCTATGCATCTTCACATTAGCACAATTTTATACACAGTGAGAGACACACACACACACACACACACACACCCCCACACACACACGTACGCACACGCGCGCACACACACACACACACACACACATACACGTACAGACACGCGCGCACACACACGCGTGCACGCACGTACACCCTCAAATAACACGCGCTCGCGCGCACACACGCACATATACACGTACAGACACACGCGCACACACACGCGTATTCGCACACACACACACACGCGTGCACGCACGTACACCCTCAAATAACACGCGCTCGCGCACACGCGCGCACACACACACGTACACACACGCGCGCACACACACACGTATTCGCACGCACACACGCGCTCGCGCACACACATGCACGCACACATACAGATAGACACATACATAGATGCACACGCACGCACTATTGCATTTATATACGTGGGGCTCACATAGGCAGACATAGACATGTGTGATGGATGGATATTGATGGACACTGTAAAACAGCCGCGTGGTGTTCGCTCACAGCGTCTCTGTATGTCGTTTCCTTGCTAGTGGCTTCATTCTGTGTCACTTCTTTACGTCATAGCAAGATTAGCTGAAGAGTTATGCACATGAAACACTTTATTACATATCTATTCACGCAATAATAGAATTGGCGCTGTTTCTTATGTGATTTTTGAAGCCCTGCAGCATAGTTTATCAGCGCTTACATATCAATAAACAATTTCGTACTAATATATTAACTACAATCTCGCTATTATGCACTTTCATACTACGATAGGCTAGGCGTTTTAACATATATGTCCGCTGCAGTGACACTATATTCTAAAGACTGATGTTTCGCAGTAACTATTAAACTGCGCTAGCGATTTTAATACCAATACCCATAGAAGGGTGGTGACATCTAACATAGAACTACAGTGTGTATAGGCTTGCCTTTTTGGTTGAGCGTTTTCGTAAAATTCGCATCGTAATTCAGGAATAACATGTAATATATATAGTGTGGAGAGTCAGAGACAGTAAGATCAAACAACAGAACGAGTAATATCTGTTACACTCATCATCTGTCACTGACCAAATATTGATGATATTGATTATTGATATATCATGATCAAGTGATGCTTCATCGAACATTTTGTCTCGGTCGTAACATTTCTGCCGTCGTTGTTTTGTTGTTTGTCTTTAGCGAGGCAGTTCTATGACAAGTGATTCGTCGTGACCCCCCTCACCCCCTCAGCAGACACCTCAGCCATCGTTTGCCAGCTCTTCCACAGAGTAGCAATGCCATCTACTGAGTTCTCTACAGTGTTCTCTTGAGTGTCTTCGACAGTGTGACATGAGCTGTTACAACATCCAGTAATGTGTGTGACAGTGTCGAATCTGCAACGGTGTGGCGTCGGAGATGATGTGGAATCTATGACAGCCTCCAGTCTGTCACTACGTCGTGTTGCCACAGTGACAGTTTCGAATCTGTGACAAGATTGCATCGGTGACAACATTGCATCTGTGACAACGCTGTATATGCGACAATGCTGAATCTGTGACAATACCATCTCGGTGTCTTTACACTTGTCAAGACATTTCCAGTCGTTTACAGAAGGAGAGCATCACATCTGTGACAACGTTCCATCAGTGACAATATTCCATCAGTTCCACGTCAGAGTCAGTGTCACATCCGCGATAACGTTGACACTTGTCTTCAACGTGACAATTCGCGCAACTATGACGTCATTGGATAATGGCAATGGGGTCATGTTGACAATGTGACAATGTTGGGATACTGTTGATGGTTGGCTGCGGTTTGGTGGCACCGGTGATGGCAACCGCCTTTCAAGCTGTGCAGGAGAGTATGTGCGAGATATGATTAAATATTTAACGATGTCATACGTACAAAGGTGCTGTTGATGTTTCGAAGTGGGAACTCGCCATTTATCTGTGTGCAATATTAGGTTTCACTACTGGTGATCCAACTGTTAGTGCCTGACACCCAGTTTTACCCCGAGAAAACGCCATTGCTTGCAGCGAAGAATTGTGAATCAATCTACAGCATTCAACTTGTCAATTTTATAACGTAGTTTCTGATGTATGCGCATGTGCATGCACATGCGGGTTTATTTCGATTTCATTTGTAAATTGCTTGAGATACATGTGGTATAAGGAATTATATGCAATTCTCGGGCTTTCGTATCATCTATCTCGCATGTAAATTGTTTCATTTGAGAGGAAACTTGTCGCTGTACTTAAATGGCCGGTCACACATGCCATCCAGTACACATATCCGTCCATGTATAGCACGAATGTGTCGCCATTCCACTGTATAGTCTATATGTAACTACACTATCCGTTCTAATATGACCGGTCATAGTAATGACGTTATTGTGAATATATTGTGAGAATTTTGCGTAGCTCCTGGTTGCGTATTTAGGAGCAGGAATAGCTCGAATAGATTGAAACACGCGAGCATATTCTCCCAGCCAAGGAGCTAGATATACTTTAACTTGTATATATTCAGCTCTTTGCTCTCGGCAGCGTATAACTGCGACTGATTGAAGAAAGCGGGTTGTTTTTTCATAGAGGGAGTTGTAGTCATAATAAAAGTGGAACTATCTGAGCAGATATTTTCGTACTTTTGTTGCACCGCACGCGAAAGTGTGGTGCGCGCGGTGCCTGTTTGTGTAAAACGCACAATGCAATTCTTGCCGACATATATTATATATATTATATACATATATATATATATATATATGCGTGTGTGCGTGTGTGCGTGCGTGCGTGCGTGCGTGTGTGTGTACACTTATTACAATGCATGACGATGTTTAAAATAGCGTTTCGACATTTTAGACAACACGCGAATTCGCTTCGTGTGGTTTTTTTTTAGAACATGGCAACTGTCGGCGTCTGCCAAAAACGCATCTTTATTGAACTACTGTGTATATACTTGTAATTGAGCAGCGCGTTTGCCCCGTGGATTTAAACTGACAGGAGATCCTCCTGTATGCTCCTGAATACACCGGCTGTTCGTGTTCGTACGAGAGACAGTCTACTAAACGGTCGAGTTGACAGGCTTCGAATATCTGCGCTCGAGCGTGTTTGATTAAGTCGAGGTCCGGTCGGTCTAAACCGACGATATTCATCCTGTGAAATTTACTTGCTGGGTGTGTTTTTTTCTCGCGTTTGTGGCGCGGCAGGTGATTTTGTTTGAGCAGGTACACGAGAATTTCGGCGTAATGTGTTTGAGCTGCGAGCGTTTTCAGCCGTAGCTTGAATTATAGATGTCGTATCGCATTGCATAGGGACATGAACCGACGTCGTCTTACATTGTACTGGCTTGCCACGCGTCAGTTTACCGTTGATAAGTGCAGCAATCAGGCGACACTATAGTCATTCTAACTATGGTCTGCTGTAAGAATAATTGCAAGACAGTGTTTTCTGTAAGACGGAACTTTGTGTTTCTCTGCTCATCATTTTCTCCGTGTTTTTTTATTATTCTAAAAGTAGTTTAATGCAGCCGTAGTTCCGCGTGTGCTCGCTCTCCTTCTATATGTTAAGATGGCTTCAGGAACGGTTGTGTTCGCTCCCTGTGCAATGCTTGCAAGACGTCTATACTTTTAATGAATATTTTCGTTCATTGATTATTTGTAAATTTGGCTGCTTTCTATATGCAACTTGAATGTTCGTTGATATTATCATCCGCCATATTGAAATATTGTAATTATTAAAACAATGCGTGATTTTTTTTTAATTCTTGTCTCCAGCGGCGTACGTTTCTCTTTGCGTTGAAGCGATAAAGAGAAAGAGAGACCAGAGATCCACAACCAGGGCATAGTATGCAATTCCATTTTTATTACATTGAAACATGTATTGGGAACTAATGTTATATTATTTCCTGTGTAATTTGCGTCGTGTGTTACTGTGCCATTATCTGAACACTTCATTTTATATCTTTGCTTATAGCATATACTTATCATATTCAATTATCTAAAAACACGTTTCAACCTTTAAAACATGTTAATTATTCTATACCTGTTTCATACTGTTCATTAGTTAATCTATCTATCTACATATCTATCTATCCATCTATCTATCTATCTATCCGTCTCCCATTTTCTCAACTCTCCCTCTTCCACGGAATATACTTATTTGTTCATATATTTATTTATATATACATGGGATTTTTATATTGGCATGCACGCGTAGTACAAGGTTCATTCTATACACAGAACGATTTTCGCTAAATTATCCTTATAGGAAAACAGCTAATCTATGGACAACCTAACCTCATATCGATATCTATGAGGGTATTAATACACCGAGTATTCATACAGTGACATCTTACAACGACATTTTTGTTGAAATATTCTAATAATATTCCATGGTTTATCGTAGACTACTAATATAAGCAGCATTCACTGTACGCGACACCGCGCGCGCATTTCAATGACATCGGAATACATATAAAGCAGTGAGTTAGACACGGAAAACGTTTACATGCGAACGCTCGCCTAACCGGCCGGTAAAGTACAGCTAGTGCTTATCACAAGTGCATGTTTGCGAGTATGGTTGGCCATCGAACTCGGAAGTAATTATTTTTACCGCGGTTATCCAATACCCAACCCCTTTTACCCAATCAGAGGCCTTGTTCCACATAATTTATTATAAATTATTATATTATAATTATATAAATAATTTATTCTATATATTTATAAATTATTTTTTTACCGCGGTTAAATTACGTGGAAAAAGGTCTCTGATTTGGTAAAAAGGGCCATAATTTAACCGCGGTTAAATTATTTCTACCGCGGTAAAAATGATTATTTTCTGAGTACGATGGCCAACGATATGCGAGTGTATTCTGCCGCGGTGTCAGACACAGGGCAGTAGCGCCTGTGCATTATCGTCTGTATCTATCTCTCCGAACAATCTTCGCAGTAAGTAAAAGACCGCTGAATTACTCGGCGGACGCACGAACAGGGGCAGCGCGCGTTAATTCGATAGCTCGCCGAATTGACTAACAAACGGACGCTACGTTCGAAATGCGCGTCAGCTCCCGGCGTAAACAATTAAGAACGTCGGCCGCAGTGATTCACTTAGTCTAGTTAGTGGATTAGGTATAGACGTCCGAGGAACACGCGGGTTGTGCACGCTTGCTTTAGCAGTTGCTCGTCCACGCAGCGAATGTTAGCTGACCATATACGACAAAAAAGGCTTGCACACAAACGGTAAAGAATGACATCAGACACACACACACACACACACACACACACACATATATATATATATATATGTATATACATTCGTTACTCAAGAGTACATGCGTGTGGAACTAGTTATACATGTATAGTGTATGTATGTGTAGACGCAAATACGCGTGCACGCGCGCACCAGGACACGCACACACGATGTGTAAATTAAAAATCCCGCCGTCTGAGGGGACAGAATAGCAGCACCTATGTCACATGAAACATCTCCGGTCTCTTGGCGATATCCAGTTCACATTATACTATATATATATATATAATATATATATATATATAATATATATATATATTATATTATAATATAAATGATATTATATATATATATATTTATAATATATATATATATTATATATAATATATATATATATAATATATATATACATATACAGTACATATATAATATAAGTTTTCCCTAAAAATTGCCTTTACGCCCGCCGTAACGTTTAACGCCCCGACCGCGCTAGAATTAAAGATTTGTGAAATTCGTCCACGTGTTATTTCGGAAATTATGAATGATATGCGTCTATAGGCCTATTTATGGCGTTCCGGTATCCAAGAATACCGCCGCATTTTTATATTAGGCCTTACCGACCAACCCGCGCATAGATTGCCACCAAAAAGGCTTATAACTTGGTGAAGGCAGGGCAATTTTCTTACATTGTCGAAGAGTTGTTACTCTTTGGCGAAAGACCATTACCTGGACATTCAGTGAGCTAGGAGTATTCCTGTTTTATTTGCCAGAAGGTATGTGTTTATTCATGAATAAAGCTATTTGTTTAGTTACTGGAGCTGCGTATTTCTCCATTGCGCGAAGAAGATGGTTTCCGTAAAGAGCCCTTTCTCTGCTGCGAATCATTCCCAACAGAAGGAGGTATCAATTCTCAGTGGGAGAATCCGTCAGGCATTACAAGACGCAAGCTTATATCGCCGAAATGCAGCACCTCCCTTGCAGTAGGCAACGTCAATAATATTCTCCTCTTCACCTCACCGCTATGCAGGCGGGCCGTGGCACGCAACAGCATATGCGCGCGTTTTTAAGCGGAGAGGTACACAGTCCCGTCCGGATATACTGTGTGTGTGTGTGTGTGTGTGTGTGTTGTGTGTTGTGTGTGTGTGTGTAGTTTAGTGTGTGCTGCTGCTGTGTGTGTGTGGTGTGCGGTGTGTGTCGGCTGATGTGCTGTGCGTGTTGTGCGTGTGTCGGTCGCTGTGCGTGCGTACGTGCTGCGTGCATTTTGTGCCTGCTGTGTGTGTGCGCTTCACGGGGACACGCGCGGATGTGTGTGATATTCTCGATTGCTGGACGTTCGCTCGCTTCTGCGCAGTTTGCTGAAATTTTGTGTGTAGTACGTGTCTCTCGCGATCGCTTCTAAGTCGCCATGTGCGTGTGCAACACGTTGGCAGGATCTCCCCACTCCTTCACTCTTCCTCCAACATTCCCCTCCTCTACCTCCTCCTCCTTCTACCTCTCCTCCTCTCTCCTGTCCGTACCACGCTGTCGCGCCGCTGCTTCCTTGTGTGCGCGCATGTGTGACCTCCTCCGTCTCTGCCCCACCATCTCCTCTACCTACTCTCTCTATCTTAGCCTTCTCACCCTCCTCTACCTCCACCTTTTTTCCCACATCCTTGTATTTTCTCCTCCCTCTGTGTGCTCTACCCTCTCCCCGTTCCGGCTGTGCGTGTGTGCGCTGTGTTGTGTTGTGTGTGTGCGTGTACCTCCTCTCTCCCTTTCTCCCAAACATTCCCCCGTCACGCACATTCTCCCCTTACCTCTCCTCCTTCTACCTCCTCCCTCTCTCCCACCACCTACGCTCCTTCCTCCCCCTCCATGCACATTTCGTTTCCACTCCTCTTACCTCCTCACATCTATCTGCTGACCTGATTTCCGTTGCTCCGTGACTGTATCTTGTGTTGTCGTGCTGCTCCCTCCTCTCGCTTTTCTGATCGCTCCTCCACGTTCTCCCACCGATCCTGCGACCTACCTATTCTACCTTCTCCCTCATCACACCTACGCCCTCTCTCCCTTATCTCTCAAAAACTCCCCGCTTGCCTGTGTCGGGTACATCCGAAGATGTGCCCCCTCTAGGCTGCGCCTCGTACCTGCCGTGCGTTGCGCTGCGTTGTACCGCTTCGTGCTTTTGGTATCCCACACCTTTCTACCCTCCTCCTGCGCCACCCTACCTTCTTTCCTCGACCTCCTTCGATTGTACCCCTTTTCTACCTTCCTTCCCCTTGTTCTGCCGCCGTCCTGCGCTCCAGCTGATCGTGTTGCTGTGGGTCCTGTTTGAAATCGATGATGCCTGCTGTTCGCTATCTCCTGTTACCTCCCGTGTGTGCGCTCCGCCTACCTTCTCTCCTCGTCCTCTACCTTCTCTCCTTCCTTCGTTGGTACCACCTTCTCCCCCTCCTCATCTATACCTTATCCTCTTCCTCTCTTTTCTCCCTCTGCTCATACATATTATAACTGACTATATATGGCAATCCTTGGCGTCCCTTGTTTTCGTGCGATGCGTGCGTGTGAGTCATGTGTCTGTAGTTCCAGTGACATTCAGAGCTTTTGTGAAAACAAAAATCTTATTGATAGAGCCTTTCAGTGCGGTCAAGGCTCATCAGTTACTTCTACTTGCGGCATTGTGCTGCGCGTGTGTGTCGTGGTCGCACTGCGAATTCACCGTGGTCGCGAATATAAGACACAGTTTTCGTTATTCGGCACCGCCGCGGTGCGAATAACACTTACGATTTTTAGTTCATCTGACATAGTCAGATGCAGCTTGTAGAATCGCCCCGTGTGTGTAATGATCGTGATGATCTCCGCCGTCCGGGTCCCGTCCCTCCGTCCGTCCGTCCCGTCAACAGTTGGCGCACAAATCTTAACCCGCTCCGTGACGTACCCGGGTCACGATATTCCCGGGGACGGTGGGGGCGCGTGGTGTACGTTGCCGTGGGTAATCCCCCGAAAACGATTGGAGTCCGGAAGGCTGGCCGCGGGGTCAAAACTGTCGCGGAACTCCGACAGGTGGGGCTGAAAAGTAACCGGGAGAACATTTGCATGTGTCCTGTGTCGTTAAGGCTTTATAGGGGAGGAATGACTCAGGCGATATTTGTGTGGTCAGCCTCCGAATTTGTAATAGTCGTGTCCCGTGTGTGTGTGTGTGTGTCGTGCCTTTGAGCGCCAGGCTCGTTTGAGTGTCTTGTGTGTGTG